ACTAAACTCTGCTTCTAAACACAATTGGATAAACAGGCCCAACCTGGCCCAACCTAACCCAAGTGCCCAGTTCTTACCTGGCCTTAGGCAACCCCGCAGGTCCGAAGAGACTAATTATTACTACTCGTCTTTTGAGATTGCAATTTTGCGGTGCCCTATACATTTAATATATATTCATTAATGAGAACGATTAACTTAATATTATAATATATTATACTATATTTGATTTTTTTTAACAAATTATAATTTGAAAAGGGGGATTTGAATCTCACCGTAGGATTTGGGGTGCATTTTATGAAGAAAAATATAACCATTGCATCATAAAATTTAGGTGCATTATATTATATTTGACTTGAAAAAAGAGAAAGGTAAAAAAATCATCTATTTGGTTAAAGTAATTGAAGAGAAGGGGATGAAATAGGGGAAAGTTATATATATTATTTTTTTAATTTTATTATTTATTTAAATTAAAAAAAAGTGAAATAAAAGGATACTATATCTTTCTATTCACCTTCACTCTATTTTTTTCAACTAAACATATTATTAAAGACATAAGAGTATGGTTATGACCATAATTTAATTTATAGATCGCACAATATTATTAAAATATATTAATTTTATTTGATTTAATTATTTTTTAATAATTAATCATTAATGTACTAACTATATTTAATAAATTAAAATTAATTTATATATTAATATTTTTAAATATTATATTTAATTATTTAAAAAATTAAATTAAATTAAATTTATATAAATAGAATAAAATATTGTAACCACGCGACTTTCCCTGCATAGCAAATGTCTGTACATAACAACATCTTCTGTTATTTATTTTTTATTATTTTGTTTCCCTTTTTGATTTTGTGGAAAATTTTAACCTTTTCGTCGCCTAATTTGCCGCCCCTTCAGCCGCCTTTCATGGCCACGACCATTTAGGGATTCCCTCTCCGCCCCCTTCTTTACGTCGGTTGTTCGATTCCCCATGACCACCCACTTCCTAGTTTTATTTATTATTTTTTAAAACCCAAAGTTTCAGCTTCTCATTTACCTTTTTAATTTCTTTGTTGCTCCTTCTCTTCTTCTCCTCCTCTGCCTTGACCCAGAATGGCTACAGACGAACAGTTGTCTGCTATTAAGGTACGGAAATGCTGCAAACAAAGTGAAAAACAGGAAATTGAAGCAGAATCTCTTGTGGGTTTATCTTTATTCTCATTTTCGCGTTCTTTTTTTTTCTTCCCAGAACTCGAAAGTGCTTATGGTTGGTGCTGGTGGTATTGGCTGCGAGCTTCTGAAGACTCTTGCCCTTTCTGGGTTCCAAGATATTCATATTGTAAGCTTATAACTTTTTGCTGGGATAATTACAGATGGGGTTTTCCCCATGTTTTTCTTTCCTCGTTGTTAATTGTTCACTAGGGTTTTTCTGGGTTTTACTTAATAATCTTTTCTAAATTTTTTCTTATTCAAGTGGGGTTCAGGGTTTAAGCAGTAATTATGCGTTTGTGAGTTTAATCCTTGTTATTTTCTCGTTTGCACTTCTTAAGTGTTCTGGGCAACGGGTGTTTCTGACTTGGAGTTACCATGTAGGAAAAGGATGGTAAATGTTATTATTGGGCTTGAATTTGCCCTATGACTTAACAATCTGGTATTAGTTTAGTGAAGTGGAAAGCAAAAATGGTTTTAGTCTGATGACAAATATTTATGATCCTCCGCGGTTTGCTGGAGTTGGTATACGGGTTTTGCTTTATTTAGTCAAATGGTTGTATATGCCTGCAGATTGACATGGACACTATTGAAGTCAGCAACCTCAATAGACAATTTCTATTTAGACAATCACATGTTGGGCAGTCTAAGGCAAAGGCAAGTTTGATTACAAGCATTTTCTTTTTGCTAGCTTTCATGGAAAGTTGTTAGGTTTTATCCTTTCATCAATATGTGACCAGGTTGCTCGGGATGCAGTCTTAAGACTTAGGCCTTATATAAATATTACCGCTTACCATGCAAATGTCAAGGATTCTCAATTCAATGTAGATTTCTTTAAGGAGTTTGACGTTGTTATGAATGGGCTAGATAACTTAGATGCAAGGCGCCATGTTAACCGCCTTTGCCTTGCAGCTGGTGTCCCTTTGGTAGAAAGTGGGACTACAGGGTTCCTGGGACAGGTAATTATATCCTCTGCATGTCTTTTGGTACTAGTCTTTCATTGTTCATACATTTGTTTTCACAGATTACTCTTCTTCATGCTTTGGTTGTTATTTCAATTCTGAATTTACTTAAGTTATCCAGGGTTTATAGTTTTATTATCAATATATTAAAGTTCCTTGCTAATCTCTGAAGAATTACTTGTGGATGGAACTCGTTGCTCAGGGCCTAGAAAATATCCTATCGTGCATCTTGCTTTTTTAGTATCTAATTTTGTGGCAATTTTCTTGGATGTAGGTGGCTATACACGTAAAGGGGAAAACAGAGTGCTACGAGTGCCAGCCAAAACCTTCCCCAAAGACCTATCCTGTTTGTACAATTACTAGCACTCCATCAAAGGTACTTAGCTAATTCTGACTATTATTTGGTAATTTTCTTTTCCTTTTTCTGCTTGATATTTTGAAGATGAAGATAGGGTGTTTCTCTTGCTGTTTATTTTGAAGATGAGGTCATAAATTGCAATATTGTCACTTTGTGTAGTGGTGGGATATTCCATTCTTTGATGTCATAAATTTACTTAAAAGCCTTGGTTAAAGGGACCAATAGCCAATTACTTGTGGGGATAAATCCCACAAACAAAGAGAGGAAGACACACGCTTTTTTTAAGAACTACAAGAGACTAACTTGTGAAAAACAAATAGAATATGGTTTGTCTGATTAGCCATGAGCAGTTTTAAGTCTCACTGAATGGTAGTTGTTAGGAATCTGGTAGCCATTAAGATTTTTGGTCACAGAGTTTTGACTTTGATCGTTAATCTACATTAGGTTAGAAGAATATCAGTCACAAGGGTAATAATTGGTTAACTAGATAAATCACTATTTCATGTGTTCTGATAAGGTTGTTTGAATTGCAGTTTGTTCACTGTATTGTGTGGGCAAAGGACCTGCTTTTTGCAAAGTTGTTTGGTGACAAGAATCAGGACAATGATCTGAATGTGCGCTCTAGTGATGTTGGTACTTCATTGGAAGATTCACAAGATGTATTTGAACGGAGAAAAGATGAAGATATAGGGCAATATGGAAGGAGAATATATGATCATGTATTTGGTTATAACATTGAAGTAGCTCTATCTAATGAAGAGACTTGGAAAAACCGTAACAAACCAAGGCCAATCTATAGTAAGGATGTTCTACCTGAAAATTCAAGTCAGTGGAATGGAAATGTGAGAAAAGATGGTGATGTTTCTGCCATGGCATCCCTAGGCCTGAAGAATCCTCAGGATGTGTGGAGCCTTGCAGAAAATTCAAGAGTTTTCCTTGAGGCTCTGAAATTATTTTTTGTGAACAGACCAAAGGTTACTATTGATCTCTTGTCATTTTTTTTTTTTTTTGGAATACTTATTGAAAAGATACTTCTTTGATGCTTTATTTTCTTCTTTCCAATTGAGACCAAGGATTTCTTGTACCATTAATTTGGGCAGGATATAGGCAACCTGACTTTTGATAAAGATGATCAGTTAGCTGTGGAGTTTGTGACTGCTGCTGCAAACATTCGAGCTTCTTCTTTTGGGATTACTTCAAATAGTCTTTTTGAAGCTAAAGGTGTTGCTGGTAATATTGTGCATGCAGTTGCAACAACAAATGCCATTGTAGCTGGGCTTATTGTAATTGAAGCAATTAAGGTCTTGCAAAAGGATAGCAACAATTACAGGTTTGGTTCAGGTTTTTTTTTCTTTTTTCTTTTTTCTTTTTTCTTTTTTTTTTTTTAATTTTAATTTCTTCTGTAGATTTTGTTTTCATTTTTTGAATCAATGTGGATCTTTTTAACTTTAAGTATGCTAAAATCTGTTTACATGCCAATCATGGTGATTGAACGTCAATTTATCTATGTTTTGTTTGAAGGTTCTTTGCTTCAAGTTAGATAGCCACTTCCTACTGATAACAGTTAAAACAGCTCTATGGCTTTGTTCTGATGTCAACAGTCATGGATTTTCTGCTCTGAATAGTGGCAGGGTTTTAACTGTGAAGTTATTATGCTGTTCAGGTTCATCCTCAGTGTTGAGTATTTTAGTATGTTTATATCACAGCAGTCATTTTGTCAATTATGGCTTTTTTTTTTTTTGGCCTTAACTCTTTACACTAGAATGTTTGCAAAAGAGCAAGATAACAAGGTTTATGTTTTAGAATAGCTAGCTAGTATATTATTTCTAGTTGTAGTTAGATATTTGTAAATTTCCTCTCTCTCTCTCTCTCTCTCTTAATGAGATTTTGTTACAGGTTGGCTCCTGTCTGATTTTTGATGCCTGTGCAGGATGACATATTGTCTAGAACATCCAGCCAGAAAAATGCTTCTCCTGCCAGCAGAACCCTTTGAACCTAACAAATCTTGCTATGTTTGTTCTGAGGTATATCTGGCATTCTTTTCTCAGTGGAATTTCTTCTTTATGTGTTTCAACTTATGCCTATAAGATGCTCATTTGGAATATGGTCGTAAACAGACTCCACTGTCTCTTGAGGTTAATACTTGCCGCTCAAAGTTGCGTGATTTTGTTGAAAAAATTGTAAAAGTCAAACTTGGCATGAACTTTCCGCTGATTATGCATGGGTCGCAAATCCTTTATGAAGTTGGTGACGATCTAGATGCAGATATGGTAGCAATTTATTCTGCCAACCTTGAAAAGGTGATTTATCCTTATTTCATTTCCTTTTAGACAAATCTTTTTAGTGTAAGAAGGATTATTATTGTGCAATGAGTATTGGTTTGGTTCTTGCGTCAATTCTTGAATCATGCAGTTTTAATATCCTTCTGAAATGGGAACAAAGTGAAGTCCAATCATTGTGGTTTATTTTTACCCTCAGGTGCTATGTGAGCTTCCTTCTCCAGTAACTAGTGGAACTATGCTCAGCATAGAGGATCTACAACAAGAGTTTTCTTGTACCATCAACATCAAGCATAGGTTTGTTTTCTTGTGTAAACTTTTTGTTTAGAAATTTTTTATTTGTGTTGCTTTGATTGTGTTCGGAATAATTATTCAAATTGTTCTAAGTACAGGTTGGTTATTACTTTATTAAAGTTATAACTTTCAAGACTGTTCTGTCATAAAATGTGGAAACCCTGTACTTAAGTCACTCTCCTATGCGCATAGAAAAAAAAAAAATTTCACTCCCCCATGGCTATGGTTATGTTCTAACTTATAACTGGTAACTTCTAAATACTATCCCCTCCTACCAATAAATGGATGATTATAAAATCAAAGTTACTGGTAAGTTGCCATTTACTTTCTCTCTGAATTTTGGATGATTCCCATATGTGGTAATGTGTGTGCTTTGCTGCCCAGACTCCCATTTATCCACTCATTGAAGCACAAAACTGATACATCCCTAGACACTTATATTTTTAAGGATATTACATTAGTTGCCATTCTGGTTCAAAAATATTCTGTGAAATTTGACATTTGTTTTGTTTTATGAGGATAGCTACTGGAACATATTTTTCTTGTTATTCTGACAGGGAAGAATTTGATGAGGAAAAAGAACCAGATGGCATGGTTCTCTCTGGATGGACTCAACCTTCTGCAGAGAAGAACAAGAATGAGCCTGCTGGTAATGGTGAGAACACATCAAATGCATTGCCAGCAGAAGAGACTGAAAATGCCACAGGAAAGAAGAGAAAACTGTCGGATGTCTCCAAGGCCACCACTTCAGATGGTTCAGGCCTTGCTGAGAGTGGAAATCACAACCAGCTAGAAAGCCTTGATGAGGATGATGATGACCTTATCATGTCTGATAATTTGGAATCTCTCACAAAGAAGAAAAGGCCGCTATAATTCTTCACTTCAAAAACAGCTTCTTGTCTTCTAATTTTTGTAATTTGTATAATTAGTGGAAATGGTGATTCTTTTTGGTGCTGGCAATTGTCATTATCATAGTAAAATATGCAGGAATTAGAAATTAGAAATTGTCAGCACCATTTAGCTTTTTATGCCTCACCTGTTTAGATACAAAATGTGTATTCTTTGGATATTCAGTCAGATTAACAGACTGTAACGATGTAGGTACCATAATTTATTTGCACATCATTCTGCAATGAAATTAGTTGTGGATCTAAATATCTTTCAAGTAATTCTTACCTCTGATTGCCAGAAATGGATTGGAGAAACAGGGCAATCCAAGACAGAATTCATGTTTGAATCTCTGTATTCTAGCATTCCGCAAAGATCATAATTGCCCTCTTTCCCCCAGTCGAAGGAATTTATTCACACAATCTGATTACTAGGCAATTGCAGATTGCAAATGAGTAATGGCATGCCTTTACTTCTTTGCCATTTACACCCCAACGTGCGGTGCCTTGGGTAGGGCTATCCTTCTTTCCATGCTAACCCAATCTGCAATTGCATCGACTTACCTTCAAACTAAGAACTACAAAACTTGTATCCATTCTAATCTTTAGTATTATAGTAATTTGATGTTTAGGATTATCCATAAACAATACATTAATTATACTGTGTATATTCCATTTGACTGTAAAATCAATTCTTGTATACTTTTATTTTTAACCTTTAGCATTTCTTTGCCAAGAAAATTTTTGGCATTCAACCCTTTGTAATGCTAACCACGTCCGCCATTTTTATAAGCAATGGTCTCATCGGCCACTTAGCCCTGAAAATTGTGCAAACATGGCTGTTCCTGAGTGATCATCAATGGCCTGAACTTCAGCTGGGCCTTTGTTCTCCTCCGGCTTAAAAACTGGACGGTGATCGGAGGAAGGACTGATAGGAGTCACTGCCACAGGAGCAGGGGAGGCAGAGACAGTGGCAGATTGTACTTTAGCCTCTTCCTCTGATTTTCCTTGGGTGAATGCTTCTTGGAGCTGCAGAGCATACTCCAAGTTCCACAGGACATCTCCCATTGTTGGCCTGTCCACGCCGTACTCCGCCAGGCACTTCTCCGCCGCCTCTGCGAACTTCTTCATTGATTCAGGGTTGATAGTGCCCACCAGATGAGGGTCGATGATTTTCTCTATCAACCCCTTTCTCTTCCACTGCATAGCCCATTCGGCCAAACTCACCTGCTCTCGCGGCAGCTGCGGGTTAATCGCCGGCCGGGCACACAGCACCTCCAGCAACACCACCCCAAATGAATACACATCCGATTTATCCGTTAATTGCTGTCGCCGGAAGTACTCAGGATCTAAGTACCCAAAACTTCCTTTCACCGCCGTGCTGACATGGTTCTGCCCCATCGGCGCATCCTTGGACAGTCCGAAATCCGCCACCTTGGCGACGAACGCGTCGTCAAGCAAAATGTTGGTTGTCTTAACGTCCCGGTGGATGATCCCCTGAGCAATTCCGGTGTGAAGATAGTGAAGTCCACGCGCTGCCCCGATACTGATCTCCAGCCTCTGCTTCCACGACAACGGCTGAAGATTCTTACCGTACAGGTGATCCCTGAAGGGGCCGTTTGACATGTATTCGTAAACCAAGATCATTTCGTCGTTCTCGTCACAGTATCCGATCAGAGATACCAAATGCCGATGCCGGAGCTTCGATAGCATCTGGATTTCCGTCTGGAACTCTGTAATCCCCTGTTCCGATTGTGGGTTTCCCCTCTTCACGGCAACTTTAGTACCGTCGTCGATTGTACCCAAATACACATTCCCAAATCCTCCGACACCGATTATTGCACTGGAATCGAAATTCTTGGTTGCTTCCTGCAATTCTGCAAACGAAAAGTACCGACCCAATCCAGTTGATGAATAGAAATTGCTCTTGTGAGAACCGACTGAGTTCTTGCTCGCCATGAAACTGGAATCACTGGCGTGGATCGGGAGCAGCCATGCGGAGAAGCTATTCCTCTTCTGCCAATCTTGGGGTCTTCTCTTCCACTTGATAACCATCGCACCCAGACCCACAAAGGCGCCGAACATCATGGCGAACCCGACTGCCGCCACCGTGCCCTTGGTTCCCAATCCAGCACTAGTTCCGTCGACGCCGAACTCCCCGTCCAAACTATCCACTGAATTGCTCATCTTCAACACCTCCAATCCATTCAGAATCGCATTAACCGTTCCAGTCTTCTCATTCATCGGTCCAATCTGAACGGAGAGCCCTCCCGACATGGTGGAAGCGTTCACGACTATATCTTTATAGTACGGAACCCCTAATTCTCCGGTGAGGGAAGATAAATCCAACCCAGAAATCGCCATTTTTCCATTGATGTACACGTTGAAGTAGAGATCATTTAGTGATTTGCTCACAATGTCACAGAAATGCATCCGAAGAACATAATCAAACGATGTATCCACATCAAATTTCCAGCTTACGTTGAAATTAGGTTGCATTGTTTTTGAATCCGCCATCTTTGTTAGGGAAGAGTAAACCGTTGCCGGTGCTATAATCGGCGTCAAAACATCTGTGTATTTCACCACATTTGTTGCAACAGAGAAGCTCCGGGCTAAATTCTTGTCCTTGAGAAAATCTGTATCCGGAATCCAAGTCCTTCCCAGGGTATCATTTTGGGAGGTAATCAAGGGACCTCCCATGTTCAGCCGGTAGGCCACCTGGTACCCGAAATCTGACAATCCGGAAAAGCTGTCCACCGGAAAGAGGGCTGTCCCCTGATCAGAAATCAAACTATCCGGTGCAGATACTACCTCAATGGCATTGATGAAGGCCGCTGAATTCTTCATTGGAATGAAGTTGATTGAGAATTTGGGTTCGGTTACATTGAGGAGGTATTCTTTGAGAATTGCATTGGTGTTGTTATTAACCTTAAAATTATGAAGGAGAACGTATTTATCCGTCATGACTGAAAATGTTGCCTGTTGAAGATCGAATTCATTGTTCTTCAATGGAAAGAAATGGAGACGAACCCAATGGAATCCCGGACGAGTCAATTGAAATGCATAAGTAGCCTGCTCGGTGAAAATCCTCGCCGTGAGGTAGATTGGAGAGGGAACATCGGCCGAGGGGACGGAGACTTGGATATCCTTGTTGGTCTTTAAGAATTGGGTGGATTGTTCTTCGGTCTTGAAGGATCTTCCATCGGGGAGAGTGGCAGGGGATTTGGCACCACAGTCAATAAGGATGTTGTCCTGGGGAGAGAAGGGAGGTGTAGGGGGGGCGGCGGAGATAAAGGAGGATGAGGCAAGGAGGAGGAGGAGGAGGAGCAGGGGGATAGCCATGGGAGAAGATAGAAAAAGAAAGGTGGGATGAGAGTTGGGTTTCTTTTCTATCTCCATCATCCCTCCAGGGTGAGGGAGATTTTTAGAATAGGACTAACAAAGGAATGGAGATTAATAATGGGGATTTTTCGGGTTCTAAAATCAGGGATTGACACAGCGGGAATGTGCTTTTGGCTGCCTCCAAGGAGGCATTGTTAGGGTGGGAAAAACTGGTTAGTTTGGCGCCATTTTTAGCAACTTCCCAAGACAGAAAACCAAGGTTTGAAAGCACTTGAATGGGTCAACTGTTAACCACCATTCTTGTCTCCCTCTTGAGAACTTGAGGACTTCATTTTTCAGTTGCTAGCCTGAACAGAAAAACAAAAATATCCTGCATGCCTAGGAGCATTTTTGCGTTTTCAAGCCCGGACTAACGAAGAAAAATGCTATATTCAAACAACACTTCTATAAAAGCTTTAACTAAGCTAATTAGATATTGTTTGGAATGTCTTGAAGGATAAAAGTAGTACATTTATTACATAAGGATTCTCCTGCAACTTTCTGTTGATATACAACTTAGGAAGAATGATAAATTAATTTGAGCACTTATCAAGTCTCTGTTACTTGATTTCAAGTAAGGCCTGAAGGAGGATTCAAGGAGCAGAAGATATTTTCAGAACTTTGAATTCAGTGCATAAATCTTCACTGCCATTCTAGGGTATCTAGAGCTTGTTGGTGAATTTGTTTGTCCCCCGCTGCCACTATATTAAAGCCTGGATAAGAAAAAGGAAAACTAAAATGAGCAATGTAAATTTTACAGAAAGTTTAAAACAAGTTGGGCCTTAATTATTGACTCATTCAATTTTGTCTTGTAAAAGCATAATGTGGGTGTGAATGATCGCAAGGCAAAAGGGGAAAATAATGTCAAAAAACATCAACATACTTGTTGCTCGTGAATCTGGAGATGCTTCCCAGGAAAGCTGATGTCCTTGCCAGTCAGTTATAATACCACCAGCTCCCTCTATCACAGGTACAAGTGAAAGGAAATCGTATGGCTGAGGAAAATTCCAGTATTAGATAAAAGCAATGATGTCGATATCAAACAACAAGATGTTTACAATGGATGGTATAAGCAACAAGAGTTTGAGTAGTTGTGAAAGAGTCTCCATTACATGGCAGAGAGAGCAAAGAATGTATTTTAAAACAGCAATACTAACACAAATGGTATCTAATTCTAGGCAACAAATAACAAGTTAAAAGTAAGTAATCAATCAAGAGTTTGAGTACCATTTGTGTGATTATTCTTTTATGGAGTGAAAAAAGAAAATTTTACAATGGTTTGTCAGAAAAAACACTCAGAAGTGAGAACAATGTCTATAGCTGGTATTACCCCAAGCAGGAAAATAAGTCCATACCTTGAGACCAGACTCAACTACAAGATCCACGAAACCAGAAGCCAGAAGGGCATAAGCATAGCAGTCGCAGCCATATAATGGCACCTTCACCTGCACAATAATAAGGGGCATGGACAAGGAAATAGATTAGCATGTAAGAATCTATAAATCTAGGTTAAATGTATGGGAACCATGCAATTTGGTTAAAAAAATATCCCAAGCATGCTATATTGTCAGCAAGTATCCAGACACATGGGGGTAGGGGAGGATTACTGCAAGATATAAAAATAAAAAGTGAAAAATGTTAGTATTATGATATGAATTTGTGTTGTTACAAGACGAACACTGAAAATCCCCACAATGTATCAAAAAAAATTTAATCTTCACAAATAACAGACTCAAAATCTTATTGGCAATATTGCTTCATATTAACCAATCAGTGAATTGAACAAAACAACTTGTGAGAAACCAATGTTTAATACTCATACACAGACCTTACTTCTAACCCGAGCAAATGCCTCCTCAGCATCTCCTCTGAACAGGTGTGGACTAGTTGTGTACCTGAAAAATTAATAAATGTCAAGAAAAAAGAGGCTAACAGATACCATCCAAAAACAGGATTTGCATGCATGCAATTAATGACATAGTAGTAAAAGTAGAAATGCTTGTGAGAAAGATCACAAGTGTCACAAAACTTCCTGTACCACACTTTTCACTTCCAGCTACTTCACACGCCTACTCTTTTAGTCAATGATTATGCTAAAAACCTGCAAGAATCCCTTACTCGCAACCAAGCCACTCTCCCTCCCTCTTCCCTTGGCATTTTTATTAAAGAATATGTTAAAATCCAAGTATTTGCAGTATGTCCAGGAGTTTACCATATAAAATCTTTGAACCCTTTGTGATTTTGTTACCTATGAAAACATAGTCAAAGACAAGAAAAACATACAAATATGCTTGTGATAGTTTTGCACAACTGCGTGTAATCACTTCCTCTCCATTCAATGTAGTTTTCCTTCCACTTATCCCAATCCATCTTTCTCCCAGGACAGGCTGATCAATAATGCCAAGAATCTGAAAGGGAAAATATCACAAGCTATAACGAAGTTTCTCTTTCCCCATAACTGAACAGTAAAACTATAGACAAGAAATCTTAAAGACATGGTAGGAAAAATAAAGCAGCTTCTCATCAGAGGCATAATGATGAATATAAATTACAGAAACTGGTAAACACAATATTCTAACAAGAATTAAAGCAAGGAATTAGAGGAACATAAAAACCTATTTAAATAGCCCATAAGCTTTGATAATATGATTAAGCCCCAAAAACACAATTCCAACATGGATTGAAGTAACATCCAAAGCCCTTTAGAAACTTTGCAACTATGATGAGGTTTGCAGGCAAAACTTACTGGTTTACCTCTGTACAGGAGAGCAATTAGAGTACCAAACAATGGTTTTCCTGAAATAGGAGAAGCATAATCTCATTTCTGTTCAGTAAACAATCCAACCATTCAACCTAAGTAAAATATTTTGAAAATAAAAGGAGAAAGGAAAATACCAGTGATAAAACTCTTTGTCCCATCTATTGGATCTAAAACCCAAACATAGTCTGCAAACTTGTCTTTACACCTCCATCCATTTTCCTCTCCAAAACTACAATTACCACTCTAATTATTTCAGCAACCAAAAATCAAGAATAAAACTTCATAGCCAACATGCAAATCCAACACTGAAAAGATTTTAATATTCTTCCCATGCTTCATTTGATTCCTAAGCATGCATCCTAAAGAGAAGAACAATTAAATTGAGAGCCAAAGGAGAAGGAAAAATTTTCCCCGTTTTCTTATCATAGATTTTTTTTTTTTTTTCCTGATTCAACCATTTCATCTATTCTTTCTGTTACCTTTGTTTTTAGCAACCAAATAAAAAATTCTAGAGTACAGAGATCAACTCACAATTTCATATTCACAACTTACATTGCATGAGAAGGAAAGCTCTCCAATATAATTGAAACCATAGCTTCCTCAGCTGCTTGATCTGCTATTGTTACAGGACCTGCAGCAAATAAGAAAAAAAAAAAAAATCTAGAAACGTGAGAAGCTCAGTCATGCCAAGTGAACACTACTGCAATTCTCTCACTTAACTAATGCCAAAGTTACAACCTTTCCACTCCTGGTGCATTATTCATTGAATTGAAGAAATCAGATGTTATCTTTCATAAAGCATTTCCACTTACTCTCGCCATACAAGAAAACATTTCACAAAATAATAAATAAATAAATTCATCTTCTTTACTTTCCTCAAAAGAAACATGTTTTCACTTCAAATCCTCGAAATTAAAAAGGAAAAACAAGCAGTTAAATCAACTTACTCAAATCTTCTTTATCGAGAATCTCGACTTTCTTTCTGAAGTACTTGCGAATCACTTCGCCGGCTGCATCAGCGAGCTTGTTCCCAACCTCAGCAAAACGATCGAGCTGGTCATCGTTCAAGGCTAATTGAAGGGAATCGGCATGGTTAGAGGGCATGGAGTTGGAAATCATAGTTTTTGATCGGAGAGAAATCGGAGGTTGTTTAAGGAGAGGGAATGAGAGGAAACAGTTGTTCGGAGCAGGAGAGAAACGGAAGGAAAGCGAGGGAGAGGGGGAGAAAGGAAGGAATTTGGCGAGGGAAAGGGATTGGGGTTGAGAGAGCATTGGGGAAGATGGGATTTTAAATAGGCCGGAAGTGGAGAGGGAGAGGGAACTGAATGCAGCCGCCGATTGGGAGATGGTGGGTGCTGCCGCTGTATGGAGAAGCAGAGAAGTGGAGTTTGACGTGTTCTGCACCGTTAGGTGTCTCCATCTATGTTGCTTTTTCTTTGAAGTTTGAACTCCCTTTTGTTTCTTTAAAATTTCTTAACAATCCCTATTGTTTTCATTTTTATTAGTAAGTATACAGAAAATTAAGAATTGATAAAAGTTTGATAACGAAAATGCAAGTGTAGGTCCAAGAACAATGATCTCAGTTATGTCATATGTATATATCTAGACTTGATATACGTTCCCAAGCCAAGTTTGAGCTTGAGTGACTTAACAATCGAAGTTTGACTTAATTTGAACTCTTCTCAATTGCATGATGATTGCAATAAAAACACATTTACCTAATTCTCTTTCCCAAGATGCATGCTCTTATGAACATGCCAGATTCCGATTATTTCATTAAAAAAGCCACGTGAATACCTTATTAAGACTTATAAGTACCTCGAAGGTTATTATTTATAGGTAATTGAAATCAACCTAGAACTCTCCTTTTCGTAAACCAAATTATTATTAATTTAAGTATTAGAGTGTTTACCTTGAAAATTAATCTTGGGGCTTTGCAGCACTGTTTGAAGAGAAGACTTGGACTGAGAAGAAGTTGAAGGTTTGTTGCAATTACTGAAAAAATCTCTGAATTTTGCAAAAATAATCATGTTGTCCTAATACTTTAAAAAAGAATCATGATCATGCCTAGATTAACCATCATTTATTTATTACTAATGTCTTTTAATGATGCAATAAATGGTTACTAATATCTTTTAATAAAATAATTAGAGATCTAGTTTAATCTTACTTTAAGTAATATAAAGTTAAAAACGGCCTCAAATAAATTTTTTTAACTAAAATCAATTAAAATCTATAGACGAGGCTTCTCACAAACATATGATAAATTCATTTGTCCTAATCTTTAAAAGTATTGGATGAAATATTTAAAAAGGTTCCAAGGACTTAATTGTCTAAAACAAAACAACAAAAATAGAAATTTCAATATCCAAAAAAAAAAAAATTAGCAATATTGCTCTAGGAAAGAAGGAAAAATTAAAACATTTTGACATTAAAATGTTATAAATAGATAATCACAACCAATAAATGTATGGAATATAATATGAGTTTTAATTTTACCACATTCATATGTATCTATTATTAATTATTTTGATATTTTTAATAATAAAACGTCTTTTTTTCTTTTTCCCTTGCTCTAAATTAATTTGCTTAAATGTCAAATTTAATCCTTAACTTTTAATTTTGAACAACTTTAATTTGTAAACTATTTTTATACTTTTTTATCTCTTAACCATAAAAAAAATATTTTTTTAATCTCCCTATTGGTTTTGTCATTGATAAAAGAACTAAAAAAAAAGGAGTATTTTTCATTAATTATTAAGAAACAAAAAAAAGTGTAAAATAATAATTTAAGTACTAAAATTGTATAAAATTAAAAATTTAGAGACTAAATTTAACCATTAACCAATTAATTATGATGGACACGTCAATTACCTCAAGTCTGAGGAGGGTCTAATCTAATGCACAGACTTCACCAGATCGTAGGGAAAAGATGTCAGAGAAAATGTCACATGAAATATGAGTAGATATTGCACCATACTCCTTCAGAAACTTGCAAGTTGTGGCCTTCTATATATTTTCAACGCATAAATGACAAAACCACATTACTATTCGACCAAACTTAATAAGCACACACAATTAATGGTACATGCATATTACAATACATATTGCAAGCTTTAGTGGTTATAGTGGCCTGGTAATTTTTCTTTAATCTTCTCCATGAAACTTTTCTCTCATGGCTGTCATGTTGCTGATGCTGGCCCTGGCCCGCAGGAGGAACTTCTTCGGCAGTGAAGGTAGCTTTCATGGTGGTAGTAGTTGTGATGACACTAATGGATTGGGACTGCTCCTCCTCATGTTTCCCAGTTAGTTTCTCCTTTATTTTCTGCTTCAAGCCTTTCTTCTTCCTCCTCCCGCCTTGTCCATCATCCTCGGACTATATAATTAAACCAAGAAATCCCATGGGAAAAACCATATTATAAATCAATCAAAATTCAAAAAATTATCTGAATGTGTAAATTTATCTAAAATATCATTATTATATAATTAATCTGTTATAGTTCAATAAACTGATAATTCTTCAAAAATTAACAGGCCAATATAGTTATTCGGCATAGTAAAATATCTAATATAGTATAACAGTTATAGAATAATATTTTGTAGTTCACTCTACTTAAACTGCAAACACCAAAATTCCACAATTAATTAGTGAGGTAAGCTCTTGGTCTTTTGGAGACCGCTGATCATGGGATTCTATGCAGCTGTAAAAGACTTTTTTTTTTTTGTAAGATATGGTGTGACAGATATGAAAGACAATCTATATATGCGAATTGGAAAGATTAATTTGACTAGAAAATCTCACCGAGCCAGGGCTGGAGCTGGGGGAGCGTTGAAATTCTGTGGGGCCTGCCGGTTGATCTTGACCTATAGCATGGCTAGTAGGTGCAGCACCAGACATGCCCTGGTCGGCTGTTATACTGGCATCATGTGCACCTGTACCGGTCATCCTTCCCGAACCAAGTGTGGTACCATAGGGGGTATCTATGTGTAATCCAGAACCAGGTGCGCCACCAGTACTGGTCCCAAAACCAACATCATGGGTGCCGGTACCAGTAGTCATTTCGGAACCAGGTGCAGTTCCATAGGGGGTATCCATCTGTAATCCGGAACCAGGTGCACCACCATAGGCAGTGGTCCCAGGAATTTTCCTGGCGAGGTGGCTATACCAATGAGTTGCATGGCGTTACCATGTTCATCTGTCATCTGAACAGGGTTGCCGTGTTCATCAATCAAATTAGCCATTTAGGTTTCTAGAAATCAAGGATCGAAGAGGAAACAGATTTTATGGCAGTAGTGAAAACGTTTCTTGTTTGGGCTTGGAGGGTGAGATAAGATGGTCGAATTTAAGGGAAAAGAGAAACGGCGATGGGAAAGAAGAGTATGCTTTTGCATGAAACATGTAATATGGTATTTTACACGTGGCTGCAGATTGCAGACCAGACATGAATGCCTTGCCACGTCATGAACTCAGATGACGCGTATAGTAGAAAGCTGACGAATGGATTTGAATTTTGAAGGATGATGATTCTCATGAATTAGATTTCTTATTTTTGGCATGTTTGGATTGGAAAGAATAAAGATATCTGAAAAAATATATATTTTTTATTTGTTTGTCAAAAAATTTAGAGAAGAAATGAGAGAGAGAATTTTTTTTTTAATTTTTATTTTCTTTTAATTTATTTATTTACCTAAATAATATATATATAAGATTTCT